GAAGGGTCTAGGCCCGAAACGTCAGCCTTCCTGCTCCTCTGATGCTGCTTGGCCTGCCGTGTTCATCCAGCTCTACACCTTGTTATCTCTGTCCTCACTGTGTGCTGGCAGCCAGATAGCTAGTAATCCAGGCAAAAAGAAACAACAAAAATGTCCCTCATGCACCCTGAATGCTGCATTCAGTCATGATTGAAAGAAATCAGAACAGAATCTCAACCACTCTGTGAAACTAAGGATGTTGAAATCAACTGCTTGACTATCACAGTCAATCCTATTGCTAACCTCACTGCAACGTTCAACTTTCCACTCTTCACGAACAATTAAGAGAATGATTTTTTTAACTTTTAAATTTTCGGATGCCCTCACATTATTAGTCTGTGTGGGTATGTGTAAGTTGCATTACTAATTCTTCTTATACTTACAAATTAATGAACTTGCTTTATTATCTCAAATCTGGTTAAATCAATACCTTTTAAGACATCAGTTAATTTGGGTCTGGTGGAAAGGTATCCACAATGGAACGATTGGGAGTATCCCACCTATAGCTGTAAAAAATTGTGAAACTTCGCCAAGGGTTTGGCTTATCCTGGATATGATCATTACATTCCAATGTAAGGACTACTTGATAGCAGTGTTGATGAATGAAAGTAGATTGACATGGTTGTAACTGGCCAGATTGCATTCGGGCTACATCTTGTGGACAGAAAGATGTGGGTAGATTTTCACATTGTCAGATAAATGTGTGTGTTCTGGTGTATTGGTATTGGGTTGTTCTACAGTGCAAGTTTTCTACAGCTGAAATGTTGTCAAGGCCCATAATCGTTGTTGTATCATTAGTAAGATCGGGTCTGCATTCTTGGTGAGTGAACATTAACATTATCATTTATTGTACATAACGATATACAAGAGATGGTAAGTAAGTACATCTTTCAGTTACCCTCCAGACCCATGTTTGAGTTTCATGTGCTCTCATGTCATTAGCGGTTTGGTTAGCTCAGTTGTCTGGACTGCTGATATGCGATGCAATGATACTAACAGCGTGGGTCAATTCCTGCACCAGCTGATACCATGAAGGGCTTTCCTTTTCAATCTCTCCCCTTGCTTAAGGCGTGATGACCCTCAGGTTAAACTACCACTGGTTGTCTCTCTCTCTCTAACGAGAAAGCAGCCCTGTGTTCTGGTACGACTGTGGCAACTTTATTTTTTATCTTATGACATAACCTTTGAACATGATCAGTACATACATTTAGAGTGCACTGCCTAATAGATCTGTGAGACTGCAACTTTAAAAGGCTGTTGCAAGGTAGAGTTTCCTCAGCTCAGAGTTCTTGTGTCACTGTGTCTCATGAGGTATCTACCTATTAACTCTGAAAGTAACATGCTTTTGTAGCTAAAATTGCACAATCAGCTACATATTACACTGTCTCACTTGGCCTTCAATTTGCAAAAAAATCCCTCCTGGTAATTTTTAGTTATATGGC